ACACTCCAAAATATAAGCAAATATAAGACTTGTAAGACTAGACAGATTACACTGATATATTGAATGATTGTATTTTAAATTTCTACGACTGAAACATTTTTTTTAAAAAATATAATAATGAATAATGCAATTGCCTAAAATAATAATATAATACATAGGTGATAAGATCATTTCATAGGCATTACTCAGTCATTAACAACTATAAATCTATAATACTAACAATAATTGATAAATTAAAACTATAGCACCTATACCAGCGCTATACCAATTTTTAATATAATAGGTACCAATAATAGCTTATATAATTTTCACATTTCAAAATATTTTCCAAATAATCAGATGTCTGATATAATCTACTTTCATATTTGCACTTGCTAATTTTTGTATTACCAGTTACCAGATTTTTGTCTGTTGCTTGCCAATCATCTTAATATACTTTTTTCTTAAAATAAAAACACGGCAAAATTAATAAATTATAAATTATAAAAAAAATGCACATGCAAAATATATAGGATTAATATGAATTTCAGGTATATAATTACTGTACAATTGGTGTATAAAATAATAATAAAATTATTAAGACATACATAACATTCAAAAACATTATTGTGAAATAAATGTATTTCTTATTTCGTATTTGCTCAGAAACTAAAACTCATTAATAATTATCTAATTACGGGAAATCATTTTCAATTTTTATCCTGTAAAAGTGTAAAATGTCCTCTTAAGCTTTTACGCATATTATATTTTGATGTACTTACCTACCTACCTATATATTTGGTGTTATACCTTAAACATTTATATATCAAATTAACGGAAATATGTTATACTAAAAGAAGCTAGATCATTTATGAAACACTGGTATGTTTAAAATTTAAATAAAATGTTTTCCGAGTTATTTATACGATTATTTAGTTAAATCTATCCATCCTAATACACATTACGAATTCACGCACTTGTGATCACAATTAATAAAAAACTACTGTACGTACATTAGTAGTAACTAGTAACGTTATACTATGTTGAATATAAAATGTTGTATATATATAATATATTTAATACCTATCTATAAATAATAAATAATAATATTATTATTTTCGTAAGTTAAACTGAACTTACAATGATATAAACAGTTCACAGTACATTTTTGTCATTTATACGGTTATTAGGTAATAAAAGTAAAAGTCTTAGAAACTAAATTTGCTTGTAACAATATAAGGACTTTAATATGATCTTAATAGTACCGTTTTAATTCATACAATGATTGCTTGTAGTTTTAAATCAATGAATTAATTTTTTTATTATTAGATTATATTTACTGACTATTTACATTGTTTTTAGTTTATTGTCTAATTTAAAAAAATATATTATTAAGTTTAATTATTTTTATGTCATATGACTATATCCGTTGTATGATATTATGACAATATTTATTGATTTATTAATCTTATGTTTACGTTTATTCATTTTATTTCTATGATTATTATGGAGTTTATCCTTGATTTTTAAAGCCAAGAGTCATGTTATGGTTTGTTTTCTAAAAATAATATTACTAGGTCAGTGGGTGTAGGTTATATTGAATACTGTGCAATCTACATGTTCACCTGCCTTCATCTTCCGTATACATTATGTATTATATTTACACTCGTACAACGTATACTTATATTGTACAATTAAATTAAATTTGAATAAGGACATTGAAAACTTGTTGGCGAACAATCAATAACATTTTTCAAATCATAAAATAATGTGGGACCAATATAATCTACATGTATCGCAAGTCGCAACTAATAGATGTGCACAACCAATAAATATATAGGTAATATTCTAGTATTATATGTCTTCCTTTTGCAAAAATGTATTCGAATCTTTTAGTTTTACAATGATGAGTATTTTATTATATATTCTGAAAGTCTGAAGACACTTTTAGGAGCAGTAATAGATACATCAACTTTGAATGTGATTTCATAAGAAATGGTTAGAATTATCTATAGACGAAAATTTGATCTAGTTTGTAATTTGGATGGTCAAAGAAGATATTTTCTATGTACTTTTAAAATTATCAATTCATTTTTTCAAAATTCACCAAAATCACAACAATTTGCAAATTATTTCATTGTTTAAAACTTATAAAATGTTCGATTTTATATTCTTTTTTGCACATTTTAAGTTAAAATCTTAAAATTAAAAAATTAATAAAATGTTCAATCTTTATAGCATTATAGCTAAGTATTTGCAGTTCATTTAAAACATGATTATTTAGATTAGAGATTTCTTCATGGTTTTCTAAGTGGACATTTTTATTAAATTAGATATTGAAACAAAAATTACTTTGTTCTTTGTTGTAATTTAAAATTATTATTCTTGGGTATTGGAAACTTTTGAAGTATATATACCTATATTTTATTATAGTTTTTATGCACAATGCCATTTTCAAATGCAATTTCATCGGAAAAAATTAATTCAATCAACTATATTACTTATACGAAACTAAATTACTTAATTAAGTCTGTAGTCTGTACTCTGTAGTCTATAATTAGTAAAAGGTACATACTATAATAATAAAATATGTAAAACTAAAAGTTACAATATCATGTGTAATGCAATATTTTATCTAGTCATAGAAGTTATAACGCTCTTTACTGGTTAATTATTTGATTTGGCATAGTTTATCACTATATATACTTGCATTATTCTTACAAGTTACATTATGATCTTAGCTACATACATATTTATTTAAATTAACTTAAATTATTCGCTTTTTCAACAATATATATACATTTTTTTGTAACTAAAAAATACACTGTCTTGTTAAAAATCTAAAGGAGGGTTATTAAGTTATTTTATATCGTATACCTACAACTTGTAACTCAACAGTCGGCGACTATATATTATATAAGACTGCAGCAAATGTTTTTTTTTTTAGTAGGTAAGGTTCTCTATGTTTATTATTAGCTTTTATAGCTAAATTAAATCTCTTTAGTCTAGAACTCTAGAATTTGTTTTCTTTATTCTACTCAGTAATTTGCTTGTTGTTGAAATTATGAACTGTAATTTTTATTTTTTATTGTATTATTACACCAACATTGGCACAGTATAGTTTTTAAAAGAAAAAATTATCTGAAACTAGAAATATTTTAATACACATAAGATGTTTACCTAATATTAAAACATATAATTGCATTGATTTCCATCTCTATAGAATCTTTTATTCTTTGAAGTCATTTATTTTATAAAGATTGCACGTAAATTGTATACACATATTATATTATAGATACCCATCATGTCTAGTTATTAAATCGTAATACCGTATGGTTTTAAATATGGCGAATCATGAATGTCAATTGGTAACTATGATAAATGTTGTGACATTTTCAGTATTGTAATATTATTTATGGTATTAATTTAAGGGTTGATCGTTTATCGTTGAAAATAATGTCACAACCCTGTTTTAAGGAGATAATAATAAGCAGTTTTAATGACATTTTGATAAAAATTAAAATTTCAAATCTTAATTACCAACCCATATTAAATACGTAAAATACTAGTCTTAAGTTAAACGTAACTAATAATAATAATTATTAATTACCATTATTTGTCATTGCATTGTTACGAGATAAATGTTTATAATAATATAACATAGAGAAACGATTTTATGCAAAACTAACCGCGTTAAGTCGTCAACCACAATAATTTATACACAATTAAAAAGACAATATTGCTTTATCGTAGTAATACGAAAAAGTAGTTATTAATTTAAAATCTATTATTTTTATGTTTTTAAACGTAAGTAACATTTTTTTGTATAAATAGCATTTAAAGAAAATAAAAACACTTCGACACAGCAAACAATAATATACTAATGTATTATAAGTCTATTGTATCATGTATAGGTATAAATTTAGTTTTTCAACTATGAAGGGTGGCGTCGAATTAGGATACCAACTGAGTAACCGACTTCTAATATTGTTCTATGTTCTAACAATGGTACCTATTATATTCCCAAAACTTTGTTTAGTGGGTAGGTACCTACTACCTAGAAGATTATTAATCATTTTTAAAAATAATATTTATAATAAATACATTAACGAATAACATAATGATAGTGCTTAGAAGATTAGTAACTAAGAAATAAGAATCTAAGACCGTCAATTAGCATGGCTAAATATATATAATAATATATTATAATATAAGGTATATATTTAGCTATGGTGGATTAGTACATGATCTAGGGGCGTGGTATACGTTATCAGTTAAATATTTCATATCAATATAATAAATTAATAAATTATTTATAAAAAGTCAAATAACAATATTATAATATTTAAATGAAACTGACAATACCATACATAAAAATCTTTGAATAAATAAAAACGGTCGTCATCCGTCTGATGTTCAATGGATTGTTTCCGTTTTTATAATTTCGATACATGTTGCCAACATTCTACCAGATTACGGATACAGTTTCCACTTTTAGAGTCCAATACTTCATACCCTAAGGATACAGTTGCCGGATCAGGAGATCGAGTGTTGCTTCAATACATACTACATAGATAATATATATAATATTATATTATCTATGCTTCTATATTGTTCTGTGGTTGTAGTGGGTGATGATCATAGCTGATATATATTCTATGGTGATGACATTGAATAATAATATTATTCCATGTTGATGGTGATAATAACCAAATACTGATAAATGATTAATAAGTGATAACTGAAAAGTTTTTAAAAGTTATCATTTTTTGTTTATATTTTATATATTAAAATTATTAAAACCTCAGAGTCTAACTCCAGCCTAAGGATTAATGGTTATTCCGTATTCGTATTTTTTACATTGTAGTTAAAACATCAAACTCAACAAATGTTTTTTTTAATGTAATGTAGTACAATATTTTTCAAAATTATTTTACTGAATTTAAATTAAATAATTACCTAATATCCATATTATTATATTAAAATAATCATTCTATACATTAATTTGGTTTACTTATTATTTTACAAACTACAAAGTATCTAGATCTTAATAACTAAAGAAAAAAAAATGGTAAGTATTACTATCAAATATTATATTTTTATTAGATTATATTTTTTATTTTTTTTTAGTTATATTTGTATGTATTTTGGTTTACAAGTTTGATTCATATGAACCTAAAACTCGTAAATAATAATAATATCTAGTATAATTATAATCGTATCAATTCTTATGAGATAATGACTAAGCTTTCAATATAGACTATAGACCAAAATATGCATATATAATTGTAAAATATGTTTACTCTGTTCATAATCAATTTTATTTTAATATTATATTACATAGTTCTCTGTTAAAATGTCATATTCTTATAATATTACATATTATTTTTATTTGTATTTGTATTTTTTTTTCTTTGTTTAATTCTAGTTACAAAAAGATGTGAAATTGGATAATATAAGCAAGACATGGGTATTAAAAAAACATATAGATTTCTTACAATCATTTGGCAAAGAAAGACATCAATATGTAAACATTTATACTCTATTTAAATTCAAATAATGAATTTCAACATTGTTAAATAAAAATATTTTTAACTTAACAGGAAAGTAGTATGATGGAATTCCTTCGTATGTCCGGTATGTACTGGGGTTTAACTGCATTATATTTGATCAATGATGGAAAAATACCAAAAGAAGATGAGATATTTGAATTCATTAAAAGTTGTGAACACAGTTGTGGTGGATATTCCCCAGCCCCTGGTCATGATCCACATTTATTATATACGCTCAGCGCTGTTCAAGTTAGCATTATTTAATAGAAATAATATTTAAGAGAACGCTACATTTACATGCATTGTTTTTGTTTTACAAACTCAGCATAGCAAGTGAATAATTTATTTAATCCTGTTATGTTTAATATTAGATTGAAATTTCCCAGTGGTGGATCAAGGGGAGGGGCAAAGGGTCTACTGTAATTCAGTAGTGGATGTTGTAAATATTCATATTTCTAGACTAGACTTACATGATTCAATTTCTATTCAGGTATTTATTGTAAAATTACAATTCCGGACATTTCTCTCCAGTCTAATAGCACATTAGTTATTACTTATTATTTTTTATCATAATTCTGGTGAATATTGAGTATTGACTGAAATATTGGCACTGCGAACATTCAGTCGTTCAATATATATGATAAAAGTAATTAAGTAATATTATACAACTCGACTCTCAACAAATGACAATTGTTGGTATCTTCGTTGGACATCCTAGTGTTATTGTACATTTTTGACAGTGAATTTCAATGATTTGTGTGAGCTAATAAAATTATATTTTAATAAAAAATTTTATTCTATTCAGAATAGATAAAAAAAAAAACAGTTTCTTTAAAAGAAAAATGAAACATAGCCCATGCTTTGCCAATAAAAACAGCTACACTTGGAATTTGTTGTGTAAAATATAAATCCATAAGATATTATGTATATGTTGTAAATTGTTTTGTACTTTTTCCCCCCCCCAAAAAAAAAAAAAACAAAACAAAAAAAAATTAACCACTGGATCCGCCGCCGATTTTGACCTATTATCAAATTTAGAAGTAATAATATTATTTAGTGTATTTCAGGTTTTTTTATATTTTAATTTTAAAGCTAGCTTTAAGCATTTTAAAATTGGAAATTGTTTGTACATTTGAAAATGCTCATATTATCTAGTCTTAAAATTAAAATATAAAAAAAAAAACTAAGATACATTAGATTGTAGATAGTACTTTTATTTCTACATTTGATAATAGGTAAATTCACTCTAATATTAAATATAACTGTCGTGTAAGTTTGAGGCTATGCATGCTAATGTATCATCTTCTAAGTACCTTATTTTTATACCTATATTTTTTTTATATATGTGAAGTACACAGTCTAAATTATTTTTTTAATTAAGTGTATGAGTGAATAACTATTTGTTATAGTTAAAGCAATTTAGTTTGTAATGTTAAAGTTAGTATAAATTGGCTGATAAAATAAAGCTACCCAGTGGTGACACTTTTTTACTTTATATTTGTGAATATTAAATTATTTTTAAAATATTTTTTTTCATAGATTGCTTGTTTACTTAATCGAGAATTGGAATTACCTATTGAAAAGATTGTGTCATATGTATCCAAGCTTCAACAAGATGATGGCAGTTTTACTGGAGATAAATGGGGAGAAATAGATACTCGTTACTCATTTTGTGCATTAGCATGTTTATCACTTTTGGTAATAATACATAAAATACTTTTTAGTAACTCTAAATATTCAGTCGTATTTAATGAATTGATCTTTTATTTAGGGTAAACATAATGAGGTTAATTTAGTTAAAGCTGTAGAGTTTATAAAAAGCTGCCAAAATTTTGATGGAGGTTTTGGATCACGACCTGGAGCTGAAAGTCATGGAGGTTTAATCTATTGTTGTGTTGGATCATTGTCTATAGCTGGTAAGTGATAACTATGAGGAAATAATCATAAATAACATTACTACCTACCAAAAATATTCTTTTGTACAATTTTAAATGGTTTTCCATCTTCCATTATGAACCAAAAATAAAATCAGTTCAAAAATTATATGATATTCCACCCTATGGCGTGTTAAACACAAAAATGGGTAACTAAGTATTTTTTTAAAAGTTAAATTACTTTAATATAAAAACTAATGAAATTAAAATATAAAGCATTTTTTGTTAGGTAGTTAAAAATTAAATTTGTAACTTTTGATTAAATACATAGCAGGTACAACATTTAATTAATAATTGTCTAACTAAAATTATTGGTGGATGATTGATTAATTAAATTGTTAAATAATTGATCTTTTAACAATTTTTTCAAGTATTAACCTTCATTTCTTGCAAATAATCAATAAGAAATAGGAATATTGGAACATAGAATATTATGTAGATATTGGATACATTGTATTTGGCAGCATTTAACCGCTACCACTGCGTCACCATCAATTTTGGTTTAAACCACTGGCAAACTAACGTTCTATGATAATAAATGGATCTAATATCAAAAAATACTTTATGTAAATTATTAATTTTATTATTATGCAGTCATTAGTGTGGAAGTTTTAACAAAAATTGGTGACTTTTGCAATGATTTCAAAAATAACTAGTCACTAGATAATTCCATGCATTCAATTAAATTAGTTAAGTTAGAAAGTAACTTTCCTTAACTAGTGATTGCCCATCTTTGGTTTAAAATAATAGAAATGTACCTATTTATTTTATACTTTCCATATGTAATTTAGAATATATTCTAAACATAAACAAACATAAGTAAAGTACTTCATCACAGAGACTGCGAATTGAAAACACTTTAAATTTTAAAAGTTTCTGTATGCAACAAAATTGTTTATAGTGTTAAAAAATAATTACTTGCCCAGGTAGCTATCTGCCATAGATATTTTTTCAGTAATTTTATGTTAGTTTATTATGCATTTATGCCATGTATAAATAAAAAATATTACCTTAATATTTAGTAATAAAGTACATATATTCTATTTTGTAAGACATCACACATACAAGATTTCAAAGAAAAAGTTGGAGTGTATCGATACGTATCGAGTCAATTTTGAGCGTTCAAGAAGTTACACGTGCAGTATACAAGCGATTCGTATCGACCCGTATCGAACTCGGACTTCGATACGAGGTGGTACGTATCGATACGTATCGAATTTTTCTTCTTGAAAATCTTGATATATGTATTGTTTTTAATATTTCCTTCCTAATCTTACATTTTGCTATTTTAAATAATTTTTAATGCACCACCACAAATTTGTTGATTCTTAAATTTAATATATGTTTGACATCAAATTTTAAATCTCATTCTTTAAAAAAAAACTTGTTCACATCTCTTAGTTCTAAATAATGTTTTGATGCAAATGGTTCACATCCAAAACAATCATATTATTACACAATTTACTAATTATTACATTCATACACAAACACTTAGTATAACATGATTCACACAAATCATACATTTTGTATTTGTAGCTAAATTGATCTAATTATAAAGTATATAGAGTATGCCTAATAGTTAAAGGCACTTATATTTAAAATACAATTTTACCAGATTTTTACTTTTTTATTTTTATTACGGGAACCCCTATATTATCTTATACCAGCCCCTATAAAGTATAAATGCAAGTCTCAGTAAATTACACCACACCGGTGTTGAAATCAATAAATTTAAAAGTTAAAACAGATTTGACTTTTTAACCAATCATATCCGCAAATATAGTTTTCTATATAATATAGTTTAAATATTCTTTGTAAACAAGAGAAATTGTTGATAAAATAGTATTATTAATTTTTAAATAAAAAAGTTATTGAAGTAGTGTCATTGGATGCCCCCTTCTATCACGCCCACATGCCTTGTAAATAATGTTAAAAAATTTACTTATTGTATCAAATGTATACAGATTGTAAATATATTGTTGTTTTTAAAATAAAAAATAAAAACGTAAATATCTCTTAAAAATGTTTACACTAATTAATATTTGATTTTATTTATATTCTATAATAATTTGTATAGTTAACAACATTTGAAAAATGTTCGAAACTAGAAATCTTCTGGTTATCAATATTTATAGTTATTAAATGTTATAGGGCGATTGGATTTAGTCGATGCTGACACATTGGGTTGGTGGTTAGCAGAAAGGCAATTACCATCTGGTGGACTTAATGGACGCCCTGAAAAATTACCAGACGTTTGTTATTCATGGTGGGTGTTTTCTACATTAAATATTTTAGGACGCGACCATTGGATTGATAAAGAAGAGTTGAAAACTTTTATATTAGCATCTCAAGTAAAGCCCTAAAATAATCTATTAATAATAAATGGTTGTACGTATAATATTATATGATTTATGATGTATCAACAGGATAATGAAGGAGGTGGATTCAGTGATCGCCCTGGAGATGAACCAGATCCTTTTCATACTCTTTTTGGTCTTGCAGCATTATCACTAATGTCATATGATAACATTTTACCAATAGACCCTACTTATTGCATGCCAAAATCAGTTATTAACCGATTAGGATTAAAACCTCAAACTTTATCCCGGCCTTAAAAAGTAAGTTAACATAGATTACTATTCAATTTATTATGTTATTTAATGCTGTATTAATTGTATTATGCACAAATTTATAAAAATTAATATGTTGTAGATTTTCCAAATGGATTTATTATGTTGTAATATTTTCTTACTGTTATATTCTATATTTCTGCATCCACACTATATTTTAATTTTACTTTTTAATTTTAATTTTATATACTATAATAATTTACAAATAACATTTTGTATACAATTTTCATTTAATTTTCAAGTGCCCTATTGTAATTATTTGTGAAACATTCATTTATTTTTACATTTATATTAAAGAATAATTTTTGAAAATTTCCAAGGTAATATACCAATCAAAAAGTAAAATGGGCCTCATGGCATATATTTGTCTTAGATTTTCATTATAAATTATAAAATTATCTTACAACATAAGTGATTAATAATGTCTGTACATTTCCTGGTGTTCTTTGGTATATAATAATTGCAATCATTAGAATCCTATACTTATAGTTGATCAGAAAAAAATTTAAAAAATTGCATAACAAACTTCAAGTAACAGTAAGAGCTACTTTATATTATGTAAAATACAAATAATAAAAACTCAAATGTAAGTTGAGGCTTTCCCTTAGACTTTCAGATATCAGACACTGGGAATATCCAAGACTATACTCTATTCAGAATGAGATTGTTCCTTGGCGGTGACCAGTTTTTGTCCTCAACTGTCAGACGCTTCCCCCACCTAAGCAGCTCGTGAGACTGGTACTGCGGAACGAGGCCACGCCCATGCGCAGAAGTTGTCCGCCGAGGGTACCTTTATAATCTCATTTTGAGTAGAGTATAGATTAGGTATTATAAGAGGTAAATAAGTGAAATAAACATTTGTGTAATTAATAATGTTCAAGTTGATACAATTTAATTAATAAATAAAAAAAGATTGTATATACAAAATCATAGATAATTTATGGAACATATTATATAATATTAACCATTACTATAACAGATATATTGCAATTTATTACGTCTATGTTAATAGTATCAGTGATTATTTTCATGATTTATTTGTTGAATGAATTTTTATCTTAAAGTTTGTATTTATTTTATTTAAAATAAATAATTAAATATGTTAATAATAATGAAATATATTATTATTTAATTTTAATACGGATTTTATTTTAGGGGATTCCTTAAAATTCTGCATAGCTTGCATTTCAGTACTTTTCCCTGCATCCAAAAAATATTATATGTATCCACATTTTTATAACGTGACTTTCAAAGGATCTGCTATCACGCATGGATTTATAAGGATTTAATATGCAATAAGAAATAAAATAATATAAATAACCATCATTTTGGCTGTCATATAGTATTATATATAATTATTAAATAATAATGTTTAAAGTTGAATATGGTTTGCCAATTTAAAAAAAAAGGTCATAGGAGGGGGATTATGAGGAGGGTGCCCTCTGTAATTATGTCACTGTTCTCCTATTTATTTTCCTTATATATTGAATATTTTTTTTAAAGAGTTCAAAGATTTTGAAGGCAAACATGGGCGCCCATAGGTAACATTTTAGGGGGGGGTCAAAATAAAAAATTTTGGTTATAAGGTAATATTGTGATAATATTTATTGAGCTACAAGTTCATAATATTTTTTTCCAGGGGGGGGGAGTGCCCTGTCTTGCCCCCCCCCCCCCCAATGGGCGTCCATGAGGTTAAACCATCTTTCTATTTGAAAACAGTATACAATGTATGGAAATCATTTTAAAATACCTCATTGATTTGTTAATACTAGCTGATAAAGTGACACTCATAACAAAAGGTGCATTCCAGTTTTACCATAAAAATTTGGCAAAACAAAAAAAATTTTAAACAAAACATAATACAATTATGCATTCAGTTTATTGAGTACAATATAATTTAGATTGTACACTTTTGTTACGATAAAATACCTAAGTCTTTAATTTTTTATTTTGATAATAAAGCAGCTATAACATCATTAATTTCTATTGCTGGAATAAGTTTTGGTTATAACTATAAGTTCTTACCATGAAGAATAAATATATTCATAATATATTCTATTAATATTTTTTCATGGTTGTTACTTAAATATACACTGTAAAGATCAGAAATAATAAAGTTGTGTTATAATAGAATTGAAATAAATAAAAGCTACTTGCAGAGTACATTGATTAGTGACTTTCCAATAAGTTAGAGACAACAGCCAACATATATCAATTTATAAACATAGGCAAGGCACATAGGAAAATAAAAATAATGCAATTATTTATATAAACGTTAATTATAATATGTTAAACAAAAATTCATATTTTGATATACATTATTTATCTATATACATAAAAATGAATGTCTGTATGTATGTCTCTTATGCCTGCCTAAAGTTTTTAGGCCCTAAACAACTGAACCTGTTTTGATGATTTTGTTGTGTGTGTTTGAGTAGTTCCCTGAATGATTTAGATTCACAATTGGACCCGGTAGGTCCAACCCGAAAGGTTGCTTAAACAGAGATTTTAAAATTTACAAATTAAATGGTTGTTTTTGGTTATAGGAGAAATATAAATACATTCAGTAGAAATGAATGAGTATTTTTGTTGTTTATTGGTTGCTATTACTTAATCATTGAGCATGAATCAAATTGAATTTTTGTACATTGCCTACTTAAGTGGCTGAGTTGCACATATACCCGAGCGAGTCTTATATAGAGTTGGCATTTTTAACAGGCAACCAAGTGCAAGGGTTCAGCTAATTATTTATAAATATATAAATTAAGTATTTTTTTCTTTAATAATGATGATTTTATTTTATTGGCTGGAAAATTGTTCTAAATTGTGTCAACCATGATGCAATAGTATTTAGTTTTGAAAAATATTCAGTTACACACTTAGAATTAGTTTGACTACTCTTAAAAAAAATCTGTGCAACATTTTAACTAAATAGGAAGTAATGATATTGACACAAAAGCATTGGAGTTTACTACATAAGCATTTTTCAAAATGGACACTAATAATGTTTTAATTTAATTTAATAATTTTAAATTTTAACACTAAATAGGTTCCCATAATTATTCATTTCAGAGCATTAAAACTTAAGCTACATCTAGGCATTAATTTTATAGTAGACTAGTCTTAGGTATTGGGTATAGTACAAATGCACATTTGAAGAGAAGAGAGCCTCAATTAATGTACCTACACAAACTTTATTTTAAAAACAAAATAATTTAAAGCACCCAAAAAAATGGTATTCTATTTTGTTTTTGAGAATATTTTCTTGTCAGTACCTAATAAATTAGGTAATAAGAAAAAAACAAGTGTCTAGGTACTGATCTGAATAGAATTATATTAAATACGGATTGATTAAAACTAAAACGGGTTTGCTGAATGCTGAGAGCCTTGATACATCACAAGCATCTACTATAACCGATCAAGGCACTCAAGCCTTTTTGTACGTTTTTTTGTTGTATAATAATATTCAACATTGTATGGGTAGGTTAGGTACAATATAGCAAATAGCAGTTAATGCAGCCACCCGGATACCGAGCATTACACTGATTAAAAGTTGTTTTTCTTTGGAAAAGACAGGTATCTCGTAAATGCATAAAATTAATATAGGTATTCCAGTCGAGGACGATTGGACACATTAATTGTTTAAATAAATATCAAGTACCTATGTACAACAAATTTTGACTAGTTAATACAACACAAATGTATTATAAATCTGTACTATATCCTAATACCCCAGTCTTCTTTGATCATGTCCGCGCCCTTTTCGCCGATCATAATCGTCGGAGCGTTGATATGTGCTGCCGGTATTTCCGGCATGACCGACGCGTCGATAACTCTCAATCCACTTACTCCATGCACACGCAATCTAGGGTCCACCACGGCCGTGGGGTCACCCATCGGTCCCATTTTGCAGGTGCCCGACAAGTGATAGATGGTAAAACTTATTTGTCTCGCCGAGCACTTCCAGTACGCGTCCGTGTCGAATTTGTGTTGAACACAACCGGGCAACGGGGTGTCGAATAACGTGGCGTTGAGCTTCTTCATCGCGTCGGTTTTCAACATTTGTTGGAAAATCCGTACCCCGGCCACGGCCACGTCCAAGTCCGTCTCGTCAGCGAAGTAATTGGGATCGATCAGTGGATAATGGAACGGGTTCGCGTCTTTTAGCCACAGGCGGCCTTTACTCTTCGGTCTCATAATCATCGGGAACACCGTTAAGCCGTCCATATTTTCGGTTTTCTTGTACACCTTGTTATAAATTTCGGATTTCAAACCAAACAGTCGATGAGTATACTCGTTGTCGGAAAACAGACCCGAAATCAATAGTAATTCTAAATTCGGGTGCCCGTCGGGGAACCTCGGCCGGTCTAAATCGAAGAACGCCAAGGCTTCCGCACCGCCCGGAATTGTATAGGGACCATTATGATATTCGGTGTACTGGTACATATTTAACGGGTTCTTCAGCAATCGTTCGGTTTTCAATGATATGGTTTGATTTATCAAAGCGCACAAACCCCCCAGTGCCACGTGATCCATCAAATTTTCCCCGACCGGCAAGTCTTGTACCAATGGAATTTTTAAATCTTTCAAGTGCCCTTTCGGCCCAATCCCCGATAACATGAGTAATTGTGGCGAGCTTATAGATCCTCCAGAAATGATTACTTCTTTGCGTACAAATACTCTATATTTTTTACGATTTGATACAAACTCTACTCCTATTGCCTTTTTGGTACCTTTTTCTATTATTATTCGTGTTACACTGCTCTGCTTTTTGACATGCAAGTTCGATCTCATTCTTGCTGGAAATAAAAAAGCTGTATTTGTACTAAAACGACGACCGTTCTTCATGGTAGCCTGAAAATATTTTGATAAAATAAATAAATTGTTTAGGAAGGTCGGTCTGTTTAATATATATAATCTTGCTCTTGTGTGATAATTTATATCTGTATTTAGCACGTATACAATCTATAACAACTCAAGGTTTTAAATCTATCAATAACTACGTAAATAAGTCAGAATCAATAATTTATTGCTTTTTTACCTAATAGTACAGGTCAATTATATTATAACTGATATATTATCATACTAATCAGCTATTAGGAATTTAATTTCATCGACTCTTCGATGTTAGTAGGTGCTTTAAAGACCCCGAGTTTAAAAAAAAATGTAAACAAAACAAACCCTCTGATTCATCTTATCCGCAGTAGCTTTAAAAAAAATGTGTACCAAATTAAACCATAAATTTAAAATTTAAAATTTGTTGAACTGGTTAAACTGGTAAATTAAGCTTTTTGATTGCGGAGCGATGAATTAATTGGTTTTATAGTGATGCGTAATAATGTGTGTGTGTGTTTTTTCTTATGCTTCTGTCGTCACTAATCACCTTTTAGAGCAGAAAAAATGTTTTACTAAGAGTGAGATTTCTGGTAGAAAATTAGATCTAGATGGTATTTAAGGATCAAAACTAAAAAATGCATATTATTACTTTTCAAACGAATCAGGATGAACAAAAATGAAAATTTCGGTAACGGGGGCAGTGCAAGCCATGAGGATAGTTCTATACTTCTATGAATACTTAGGTGTATGTTAGATAGGAATTAGGTACCTTAAATCAAATCTTGGGTAAATACTTGGGAGTTGAGGTGAATTATGTAGGCCTAAACTTAAATGTGTTAAAAAAAGAAGTTACTAACATTTTTTTTTTTAATATACATATGGATTAAATAAATTGTTTGTTGTGTCGCACATAGTATAAGTTCGCCCGGCTACTAAACGAGAATATTTAAGTAAAACCTGTTTTTGACAAAAATTGTAGAAACATAACCGTAATGACTTGAAATTTTCTACTTTTTAGTTTTTTCCTATCTATTTCTATGGATAATGAAAAACCTTGAAAAATGTTATGTTTATGGTAAACCCACATCCTCATAAATTGTTCTTACTTCATTTAAAAAATATCAAATGTATAGTCAAAATTTTTTTTATAATCACGTTTAAAGTTCAAATTAACTTAATTTGTCAAAATCACAAAAATAAGTAAATAATTTGTAGCTAACAAATTAATAACATTTTTAATTTTTAATCTAATGCGGTGGGTGAGACCGGTTGTCGGCGTGGCGAAGCTCGTACGTACGTGCAGCCACAATCGCTAAACATCTAATGCGTCATTATAATAAAAAATAATTTTTGTTAAAAAAAATTGAATATTTTGTTTTTGATTATGCCTCGTTTATTTCCTTTAATAAACCATCCTTTCAATGTTCATGCATATTTTCTATATTCAAAAAATAATGTCGATGTTTCACATCTGCCAGACATCCTGCGACGGTTCACTTTTTTATTAATTAGTTAAATTAAATCAAAGAAAAATTGAACAACTATCAAAAAACAAAAATGTATGCTGATATTTTGCTAAAAAACTGTAAATACATGTGTGGAGTAAACAAATAATGGAAAAATATTTTAAATGTTTATACCATTGACCTTAACAAATTTTAAGTTAGTGAGTTATATTTTCATCATCTGAATTTTTTTTTTTGAGAACCAGACTTTTTTAATGCACCTGGTAATAACGTAGTGGCCAAAGACATTTTTTAATAAAAATAAATAAATATCATTGTTTATTATTCAAAATGTAAATCATGTTGTAAATATATTTTTAATTGGGTATTTGTGTAAACTAACTTATATCATCAGTACCTATATAATTATCTTATTTTTGATTCTAAACAGCTTTGCCCAAGGCAGTTTGTTTTAGAGAATTTTACTCCTGACATTTTTTCCTAGATTCTGAAAAACATAAACAAGATTCCTCATAACTTCTTTTAACTGGAAAACAAAAAAGTTTGTTGTTTTATCATTATTCAAAATATTTAGAGTAATTTTAAGTTATATTCATAGTTATAGGCATTTGGATTAAAATTTGTTTGGTTTTTCTGTAAATGTTGATAAATAATTTTATACTTGGTAAAATTGTTTGAAAATGTGATACAAAGTTTTTCAAAAGTTATTCTTATAGAAGTATACAATATCAAAAAAAAATACATAAGCCCATTTTTAATGTTTATACTTATAATATATTAATATGTATTAAGCGTTTGAGTACAAAATTACGAACATTTACAGATGATAAAGTACCTACCTAGTTAAAAATTCTTAAAAGTGTATATTTTAATATCTTAAGCTTGAAAATGTAATACTATATTCTTTAAAAGTTGATTTTACATCATTCTAAAAGTATCGGAAATACATAGGCACAAATTTGAAGTTCTAATTTACAAAATTGGATGTTTAAACGAAAAAAAAAGAATTTAGTAATTACGTTATAACAAAATAGCTAACCTAACCTTGAAATTACTAAAAAATGTCTAGATTAGGTTGGAAATACCAGACATTGCAGTATTAGGGACATCATAAACACGAAGTCAACAAAAACCTATTTCTTGTTTTTACGTACGAGATGTTAGATATGCATGTTAAAAATTTAACATACCTTGTATGTATATATTGTACTACTCTAGGTACTACATATAATTGGAAAGTGGTTATAATTGTCGGAATATTATTACCTCGCTTGTTACACAAACTATAAGAAATGTCAAAGACAGCTTCAACCGAACTGTTTGTGAAATATACATACATTTTGCGAGTGCGACTGTGTAAGCAAATGATGCTTTGAGTAATAACGAAATAATATAAAGGGTAATGAACGTAATGACATTTTATAGTGTATAGGTTTACAACTTATTTGAAACAATATACGAGTATTGTTATTTGTTGTACAAAATGTGGTGATCTCCAATCATGCTATAAATACAAAATGATAACCTAACTAAGTCCTGCAAGCCTGTTAAATCGTATAATATTCGTATATAATAGGAGCCTGATGGTAGCAATATCAAAAATATACATAAGTTTGGGTCGAATTGCAAAAAACGAATTATCATCGCTAAAAAACAAACTACCAACTATGAACTAATAAATGGTTAAAAGTTAATCGATGACAATTTGAATGTGTCGCGAACGATGTGTAAAAATGTTGGCGATATTAATATTTTTTACTACAGTTCCATATGAACATATACGATACCTATATAGACCATATACCACGGTGTAGATAGGTGCGTGATAAAATATACATCTTTATATATATAAACGAAGGTGTCCTCCTGATTCAAAATCAACGTAGAGCCAAACCTATCAGAGTTATCGACTTGACATTTTGAGGATAGATTAATATTATAATTTGACCGTGCACTACGAAAAGATTTTTTGATCTCAAGGGGTTGAAATCGGCAAAATTAAATTTTTACGTGTAAATTGTGTATATATACATATTGTACGACACGGAGGCCTGCAGTTTTCAGCTACCTGTAACCTGATCTTTTTGTCTGATGAATTATGTGTTAGATAGGTGTGTACTTTTTAATTTTTATATAAATATGAATTGTTCCGAGAAGTAAAATTCGACAATCTATATCTACGTCGATCAATATAAATACAAATCGATCCCTATTTCCATTGGTCGCGGCAACACGCTTATCGCTTATCGTTAAAAACAGATCCATCTATGATATAAAATAGTTAATTTATCATTTTTTAGTGCATATATTTTTCGATCGGAAAGTTAATTACAGTAGAACCTCGATTATCCGAACCTCCGTTATACGAACCCTCTATTATCCGAACTATAATTAGCGTATCCGAACGTTCTGTTATCCGAACATGAAAATTCGTATCCGGCCGGTCGGCCGGTTTATCGAATTTATCATAACTATCGTTTTTGCCTTTTTGGATTATTATTAGTACAGGTTATGTATTTTACGTGCGTCAATCATTAGTAGATAACCAAAACGCAACAGGCTTATCTAAAAAATATAATACATACATATGTAAATAAAATAAATGTAATGTACCTATTTCTTATAATGTATGATAATGTTTTTGATAATGTAATTTATGTATGTAATTCTAATAAAATATTAATAACAATAATAAATATTTAATTATAAAAATAGTAAATAGTTAATACATACGTAATTCTAAATTTTTTTTTTAAATTTCCAATATCCGAACTTTTGCGTATCCGAACTAGGTGCGGTCCCAATTAGTTCGGATAATCGAGGTTCTACTGTAATTGTATAGTAAGTTTTTTGATAAGTGTTTGTTCATCATGGTTGGTTCAAAACAATCAAGCTTAATATTTTAAGAAGTTTTGATGGAATATTTTTGTTTTTAAAAATACCGGCAATTAGACTTACAAACTAAGTCACAGAACTCGCAATGCTACAAGTCAAAGATATACAAGAGCAAGTCAATCACCTAATTTGATAGACAAAAAGGTCAGGTCACAGGTAGCTGGAAACCCGCGGGCCACCGTGTGTATAAGTATACAATTTTGGAAACTGATTTTAATTAATAACTAATTTTCCGAGCAACTTTCTTAATTTTTCAGTAGACACTAGTATTTATTTTTATTTGTTGGTTGCCATTGGCTAATTAAGTATGCGTCAAATCGAATTGTTGCACATTGCCAACCAAAGTAGCCGAGTTGCTACAAGTAGCCGCTCATGGAGTGTTCACAGTATCAAAATAAATAAAAATAAAACTTGTTATTCACTTTTTATATTATGACAAGCGAGTCTCATAAAGAGTTGGCATTTTTAACGGGCAACCAAGTGCACGGGATCGCCTAGTATACATGATAAAATAACATGGCATAATGACATTAATGATTAACGTGATACTCAGTCGTGTGACGTTAGGCATCATGCCGTTAGTTACCTTATCAGCAATCATAACTGTTATCATTAATATTTAATTATTGTTTATTACGTTGTGTTTTGTGTAATATTTATTTGTTTAGGTAATTTAGGTTATTAAATCATATGCATGTAGATAAAAAAAAAATAGTAGAAATTATGGTGAATTTCTATAAAATATGATGATAACCTATTTAAAAGTAATACATTTTGGCGGGAATTTACAGACCAATCGGAAGAAGCACGATGCTTGTGGGTATAGTCCATTAAAATTTAGAAGAGATTTTCATACCATGTTATTTTGTCTTGTGTTTATGTACCTACATAGTAATTTCTAATATATCTACATGACTTAATTACCTGTATATAATTAATGCCGATTTGTTTTTCCCCGTTCAAGTCGATGACAGGCAGTCCGATCTGTGATCCAGCATTCACAAAAGCATCAGCTATGGGCGTCCTATATGGCACGTCGGTCACTGACAACAATCCATTATGCCCATGATAATTCACATCAGAGGTAGATAGGTTTGCATTTTCCGATTTCATAAAGTACTTCAACACGTCGTCGTTGCTCCATCCTATTATGCGTGTATGGAAACATTTAAAATTGTAAACAAATTAATGTCCCATGTGAACGAACTTTGTCGTGCAGTATTAGTTACCTGTATTGCCCATTTCTGCCCAATTATCATAGTCCCTTTTATTTCCACGTGTATATATCATGTAATTCAATACACTACTACCTCCCATGACTTTTCCTCTGGGAAATTTACACCGTTGGTTATCAAAACCTATTACATTATATTTATTTTATTAAAATATGTATAGGCACGTAAAATGACGGTTTCTCACTTAAACAAGAGGTGTTCATTGGTATAGTCCTGTACTTCCAGTTGTATTCTGAAACTTGCAACAGTTGGGCTGTTATGGGAACGTCCATAAAATGTATTGCGTTTTTTCCAGCTTCGATTAATAACACCTTCCATTTTTTAATCTGTCCATAAATAATTATCATTAATAATTATATCATCATTTATGAATACCGACTAATTTCTCTTATAAAGTTGACATTACTTCAGACAATCTACTAGCCACTACTGATCCAGCACTTCCAGCACCGACTACGACAAAGTCGTATTCCGAAAAAATGTTGTTCATATCCTTGGGTTCCTTTGCTTCCCATTCTAAAGTCTCTTCCATGTACCCCCACGTTGATTCAAATAGATGTGGATAATCTGCATTTTCTGACGTTGTTAGAGTTGCACATCCGCTAACAATTATAATTAGGCACAATATCAGCTGAAATGATTTTGAAAACATTTTGAAAGTACTAAATGTACTTATTTAAATACTTTAATATTTTTCACCACTCTGTTATATTAGCCGAATACCGAAAAAAAAATATCAAAAATAGGTAACATTGGATATCAGAACCGGAATCAACGAGACCAGTTGAATTACTGCGGCGTGCTACCGCGGTCTGACAGGATTATACTCAGTTTTCGAGCCGTTACGGACAAGTATAGACTAGGAGTATAAATATTATTATCCACCACTCTGGAAACTCTCAGTTTATTGTATAATGTGGTTTAAATGTATAATAAATAGAATCTGATAGTGAGTTGAACCGTGCAGCTAATCGGAGTTGTTATTTGTATAAAGGGTAGGTAGGTACTAATAAATATCATGCACTTCGAGGTTGATTGTTAATAATTAATACTATGTATATGGATACGTCATAATATAGATAATATACAAGGTGATTCCTCCTAGCTTGCCACCCTCATTTTTCATTAAAAAAAATTAATGAATCTATTCAAATTCTGACTTTTGAAAATTTGAAGCATATATTTAATGCTTAATGGCCATTCATTTTTAAATACTTAAATTTTGTATACCATTTGGCATTTAAAGAGTGTGTAGCGTTACTAAATTCATTTTTAAAATGAATAATCACCTTTTCTCTAGAAAATTGTTGAGAGAAGACACCCGCATTCGTCGTTTATTTAACTCAGTCATATAGCAATAGATATAATAATTTTAAAATTTTAAATTGTTAGCACATTTTAAAATGGTCATAACTAGCTTAAAAATTAAAATATATAAAAAACCTATAAGATTCAGTAGGTAGTAGATATTCTTAATTCTACATTTTATAATAGGTCAACAAAATTAAACATAATAGAATTGAATTAATTCAAAACGTAATATAATTTCCTATGTTATGCGTTTTTTAGACGGAGACAACGCATGCGGTTGTAACATCCTTAAAGGTAAATGATTTTTTTGGGAAATGTTGAGTTGTCGAAATTCGAATAGAAGTTTCAGTCATTTTTTTAGTACATATAATGAGTACTATGTAGATTAAAAATGTCATATATTTTATAATTTTGTAAACCCATCATTTTAAGAACTATTTTTACTCTCCTCAGTGCATACATTTTAGCACCTCAGAAAGTACTTACCTGAATTTTGATTTACATTCATCAACATTTTCGAAAAAATCATCTGTTTCATAATTTACAATAAAGTATAGATTGATTCTTAAAAAAAAGTTTGTGTAGCCATAGGACACTCCTTAAATGGTGTGAAATAGGGATTCCCAGTACCAACCTGTTCTAACAAATGGGCCATACATTAAAAATGTTAAGTATTTATCTGGTGATCGACTACTATTTATTTAGATATATTATTTATATTATTACATGCGGAATAATAATAAATTGTATATTCAATTGTAATATTCATCTTTTATTATTTTTCCATAAGAAATTGTACGTTTTTCTTCGGCAGTAAATACTTTACATTCTATGTAAAGCATAAGAAAGTGTTTCATATTATGCACATGATCAGCCGATATTTGTATAATTAATCTTTAATACGATCGACCGATATTCCTCTAAAGGTCGACCAGTTGATCGTGATCAACTGTTTGAAGAATGGCCGGTGTAAAAATCCAAGTTTTTGAAAATACAGTTCTTAAATTTTAAGTACCTGTACTTAGAAGTTCAAAAATTTGAATTTGAATTCAATCAATATTCAAAAAAAAAATGGTAGTGACCATACTTGGTGAAAACCCTGTACATTTATCTGAAGGGGTTTGAAAAGTAATTACAAACTAATATACTCACCTAGGTAAATGAAGGTCACCAAAACTAGTTTTATTTTTGTATTAATAGATGTTTAAAGAATGATTACTGAATTAAGAGCACCAGTTTTTGTTAGTTAACAAAAAAAAAAAAAATATTAGCATAACAACCCAAAATATTAACCCACCAATGTCAGGTTCACGGCTGTTGGTTGTCGGTAAATGAGTACATACTACATATTATACCTAATAATATAAAATTCATTAAAAGTATAATTTGGATTTTATTTATTTTATTGAATATATAATGTAAGACATGTGCCTTTCGTATTATGCAGCAGTAGGTACAGTACTTCAGTCATGGGCGGAAGGCCCATCGAGAAATCGGGATTTTCCCGGTAGGCTCTCATCAATATTATACTTAGAGGCCCCCCCAATCTCAAAAAATAGTAATTATAATAATTATATACGTAAATATATTATGTGTAAAAGTAAATTTTTATAATACTGGCTGGCGCCAATATACATATGTCTTTGTATCGTAATAAATTCGATTTGTTCTATTTTTAAACAATCCGTATTAATGCGAATGTCTAAAATATCATATATCAATAATGGATCAAGATTTGTTAAGTAAATGTGCCAACGATAAAACTCTAAACAAGTTAAGTTCCTATCCGCTCATGGGTACAGTGATCATATCTATTATCTAACAATATTGTATTATTGACGACAATTGATAACAAATTTAAAATTTAAAAATTTAAAAATTTAAAAATGTCCAATGTAGGTAGTCGAAATGAACGATTTTTGAATATTAAATATAAATAGAATTGATTTGAGATAAATAAATTATTGTATGGTTTAAAAACAAATATGAATAATGTTGGTCATAAACTATATCATGTACAAATCTTAACATTTTAATCAAAACTGATGTTGTAGAGTAGGTTGCAACACAGATTTCCCTCTCTCTTAAATGTGTCACCGTGTTTACAAGTTGGAAACTGTAAAATGTTATGTGAATATCCTTGTCAATAACAGATCCTTGAAACTATAAAGGGCACGGACGTTACACTTATAAAGCTCGAAAACCTGTAATACATGCGAACGTTATTCATACATACTTGCGGCTATACAAATACCTACGTATTTGATATTAATAAATATCATGTTTTATACTATTTTAATAGGCAACAATTCTTTCAGAGTTTTTAAAATAATTATATTGTATTATACCTGATAACTGCTATCTACAGATGGGGTACGGTTTTTATTTTTTCGACAACATATATTAATGGTGTACAAATATATTTCAAATGTTAATTTTTTAACTTTTGTATGAATAATCTTCAGCTTTGCAGGACTACGTTGTGGTATTAAACTGATCGCGTGTTGTCGTATCGAAAAACTAAAAATGTTAAGATACGTTGATAGGTATTCCGCGTGTTTTTATACCAGTGTTATTATATTCATTATTAGTCCTCTTTTTTTAGACTACAACTGCTATATAGTATATCGGCGAAAAGCGATTGCACCAACATCTTTATACCTACAATAAAATTCAACACGATTGTGCTCCGTGAAATATAGGTTTTACACCATTTAAAAATACAACCGAAGTGGTAAACTCAAAGTTGAAGTTAAATGTTCGAGTTAACCAAGTTGACCATGATATTTTTTCATAGTTTTAACAATTTCACAGGCTTATGACTGGCAACAAATTAAATTGCTGGCTTTAATAATAATGGTTTCGTTTTGATACATTATTACACATTAGCATACACTATTAATACGTTTTTTTTCAATACTAATATTATATGTCTTATGTCCAAATATATGTGAAAAAACTCAATAAAATTACGAATACTACGAATTATATTTTTTTCTTTAACAATAATAAGAAATCAAAATAATAATAATAATTAATAAAATTATAAGTGCAAATATTTATAATAAAAAGTAATACAATTATGAATTAAATTTTTGTGATACGAAATTGTGGTCTCATTAGTTTCAAATATTCTAGTAATAGATATTTCATTTTTTCATTAAATCTATATTTCACGGAGAGCAATCGTATTGCGTTTTTTGCATGTAAAAAGGTAGGACGGGCGCAATCGTGATACAGCCATAGTGTGTACCAGTTCACATTGTGTACCGAGTACATAAATGTTATATAATTAAATTGAATTAATTTTGTTGGTATGTATTTCTCTTATTTCAGTCAGCTGCAGTGCGTGGTTACTGATGACACATTGCCGCAATCCCACACATTACAAGTGGTTTCAATGGTGTATTCGTTTGACCTCCTAGTCAGTAATCATATTTTTTATCATAGCTGGTAAAGTGTTAACACAATTAATTTAGAAGGAATCGCAATACAACACCAAAATCAGCTGAGCTTTCGTTGATTTTTAATAATTTTAATAATGATTAAAATGAACTCAAAATGCTTAATGCAGCAGGTACCCGTACATATAATAATACATAAACTATATAGTATATACAATGCATTTGTCTCCCAGTGCAGACATAGGTATAATTAAACCATATTTCTTGTATGCAATTTTACTTGTGTCCTAATTATTTTAATTTATATTTATTGTACCTGTAATTCTGCTGTATTTTTAGGCCATCGCCATTTGTATATGTAAATTATCTTATATTACTGAATTATTGTTGTGTGCTGTACTAAATAAGGAATTTTTATTCGGTAAATTAATAAATAAATAAATAAATAAGTCAATAGGCGAATCTACAGGGTGTTTTGGGTGTTCAGTGACACCCTGCAGTGATTCATTTAAGACTGAGTAGGTAGGGCTCATATTACTCATTTCAATTTATAAATGTTGATACTTTTTTTTAATACAATAATATTATAAAAAAATTGAATAAATTGTGTCATATAATGATGATATAATTTAATATTATATATATTATTATTCTAAATAGGAAGCATCTGTTAAACTTCTTTGTTTAGCATCTGTGTATGGTGGATAAGACTATGTTGGGGGGTTTTTTAGTGTACAGTGGGTCCACTTGTGTGATGAATTCCTTGATTCACCTATAAATTTAGTCTTAAGGGATTTTAATAGTGAGGGTATGGACAATGGACATGCATTTGACTCTTTCTGTTTTTATCTACACAAGGTGATTCACCAAGCATGCTCCCTTTTTTTCTTCAATAATGCAGTTCTTCAAAATATGATTTTTGGAATTTTTAAATATACTTAAAGACCATATTTTCAATTTTTTGTTTTTGGTACTATTAAGAATGTCATGTGGTGATAAAAACCATCTATTTTTTTTCAAATGAGGACTCTTTTTTTATTGTTAATAATTATTTGTTGGATAATTTTTTTGAAAATTTTTATGTAGGTTGTTATACAATTAAAAATTCAAACAAATAATTTTTCTGTTATTAAAATA